AATTGATGTTTTTGGAGGATTGCTTGCATTTTTAAGTTTGTTTCACATTTATTCGACAAGTTGAGTGAAAATTGAAACACAGGCTGCAATGGAAAATGTAAAAATGCTCCCAAACACAAATCCAATTCTACAATCGAATAAAATGTAAAGGATTCTGATATGCTCAGATGCATTAACATGTTCAACAGTACTATGTTGTACATTTTTATCATACCAACTATTTCTTTAGGTACATTATCATTGGTTTTATTTTAAACCCATATTTCTTCATCTTATTGGGCCCCATTGGTCTTAATAGTGTGGTATCGAAAGCTAAATATAACTTTTTATTTGCGTATATTACCGATTGTATTAAGAAAAAGTGAATATTACTTACAATAAGCTTATAGTTTAAGAGATATTGAATTTTTTGAAAATGTTTTTTTAACCTAATTTCTTCACAGGCTGACTTTTAAATTACAAATAAATTTACCCTCACCGTCACTATAATAAGGCGACGAGGAAATAAAACTGAGCTCACATAAAAAAGGACTCACAAAACCCGTTAAAATTTAAATAATTAAAAGAAAATGAATGCCCGATAATGCTATTTTTTTGGTAACAGCTGGGGTTTTTTTTTTTGTGTTTACATCAAACAACTCAAATTTTGTGTACGGCTGTTGCACGGCCTACCTTAGAATACTTGCTATGGATTTTATTGGGTGTTGTTTAATTTGATCCATAAATTAATTATTGTTTAAATGGAATCTTCTGCGCTTGTTAGTCAAATTTACTTTGCTGTTCCTCAAAGACCTACTAGATCTGTTACAGGTTTCGGGTTCTTTGTAATAGATCATATTTTTTTAATTTTTTAATCAATTAAGTCATATTCTGGCCCTGTGAGCTCTGTAAGTTAGATAAGATCAAGTATAATGAATGTGCTAAGGTCAGGATAAACTATTTAGAATATTTTAATATAAATTTAAAATATTTTAATAATTGCACTTCAAAATCTCAACTCCATGTTTTTGAATTGGGAGTTGCTTATCAGAAATAAATAAATATAAAAAAAAGGCTAAGACCGCTTTAGGGCGTGAGTTGGGCATAGCTTTTTCTTAACAAACACTTCGGTCTGCCACATGCCACACTTCAAATCTATCCTTTTTAATTATTATTCATTAAAGAATAATAAAGAATAATTTTAATCCTGTAATTTTAATTTTTCATTGTTTTTGTTTTTTATATTTTAATGAATACATTGTTTGTTTGCATGTTTTTAAATTGACTGTCCTTTGTCCGAAATAATGGCTGTGAGTTGGGGCATAGTTTTTCCCCAATAAGCACACCGCTGTGCGACATAGTTGCACTTTAAATCTTTATTCTTTTCAAAAATAATAAAGAATAATTGTAATTTTTGTAATTTTTCATTGTTTTTCTTTTTTATATTTTAATGAATATATTGTTTGTTTCCATATTTGTAAATTGACAGTTCTTTGTCCGAAAAACATAAATAAATAAGGAAAAAAAGAATTAAGAGCGCTTCACGATGCTGTGCCTAGGGATGTCGTTATATTTAGTCACATGCGATAACACAAATTAAATAATAATTAAACATGCTAATTTGCTAACATTGTAAAACAATCAACTCTGGGAAAAGCTACACGAACATTTATTCACGCACTCACGCATACTAATGGACAAATGCAGGGTCGGATGGAAGGCGAACCTAAATGCCACAATTATTTATTGAAAACAGTGACAAATGGTGCATGTCCTGTGTAGGTCCTGCGGCAGTATTCTGCACATTTGTATCTATTTTATACGCACCTGGGGACTTTGCATTTTATTACTAGCAATGCCCAAGCCGTTGCCTTCGTTTGATTGCCGTCGCCTACTCCCCTGCGCCTCCACGCCCCACGCCCCACGCCCCACGCCCCTACTCTCACCTACGCACTCTATCGGAAACTAATCAAATTTCTTACTACTCGTATTTATTTATTTATCCAGTACGACCAAAGGTCCCCGTTTCCTTTCGGCAATTGAACTTGGGGGCTTTAGTTTAATGCCACGTAGTATGTTTGCACGCTGCACATCAATGGACAAAATAAATATTAGTTTAGTGCGCCGCCTGGTCGTGGCAAGGAAAGGGGCATGGGCAGGGGCAAGGGCCAGGGGCAGGGGTCGGATCCCCGACAATTTGTCTATTTTTGGGGTTACAGTCGGTTTTGCATATATATTGCTCATACACACAGCAATACGTTGGGTCGCATTAGCTGCTCACACAGTCTGTACTCATACTATACTCTATTCGACTCTACTCTGCTCTGCTCGGCTCTACTCTACATACTCTACACGTATGCTTTCCAATAAATTGAATTAAGTTCATTTGTATGTCTGACAAACAAAATCGTTTTATTGCTGTTCTATTACTGTAACTAATGTTGTTGCCTTTTCCATTATTGCTTTTGTTTTTGTCATCAGGTGCACACAGTTATTTGCATGCATCCTTGCAAATGTTCGCATTCCTTTGAGCTCCCTGGACTGACAGCTCCCGGGCAGCTTACGACTATAAGAAGTTATGGCTTACGTTAAATGTGAAAGCGAATGTAAAAGGGATGCGAAACAGAGCCAGGCAAAGGCAGGCAGCAGCGTCTGTCTGGCAGATTGCATTGAGGACTTAGGTATGCGCTGGCATACGGGCGATTTAAATTGAATTTAAGTTTATTCCGATACACAGAACTGGACACATGCCGCGCTAAGTGATATAATCGAATCGAATCGAATCGATTCGAGTTTGCACGCAACCCGCACACACTCTTTTACACGCCATGGGGTCGAAGACCTCATGGGGATAAACATTGGTAATGGCTATTAAATAATTTACATTTTACTTGCAGCGTTTATCATATTTGTAAGCCCGTGACCCACTTATTATTGTTGGAGCCAAAACCATTTTAAAATGTCAATGTGGATAAGGCTTTAAAAGAATTTGAGCAGTAAAATATTTGAGCTAAGAATAAAGGCTCAATAATAAATACATACAAAATTTCTACTGGCCGAGATTCTGTTGGATTTCCTGCATATACTTAGTATGGTTTGATTTGTTTACAAAATAAGTGTATTATAAACGTTTATTTGTTTTAAATAAATGTTTATTTTAAATTTATTTTATTTATAGTTAATAAGTGTTCTATTTAGTAGAGATTCATTTATATTGCAGTCAAGGGCGTAGGCAGGGGGTGGCATGGGGGGCCGTTGCCCCCCATCTACAAAAAATGTTGCAATATAAAGTCGTTCATTATTAAGACGAAATATTGCCTAAAAAATGGATCTCAGTTGGATTTGTTGAAGTTTTTTCATTGATCATATGCATAAGTTATTTTTTAAATGCATTATTTAATCAAAATTTTAATTTTTTTTTAATGATTGAACATATAAAATATTTGTTCCTTTGACTTCAATCAAACATCTTAGGCCTTAGAACCTTAAGCAAAAACGCCAGGCAAACAACCAATTAAAAATGAAACCAAAACCAATATGAACCGCAACGTATTTTTAAACGATTCGCATTCAACCCCGAGTTAACCCAGCGTTAAGGTTAAAAGCATATGTATTTAAGAAAAACTTGTTAAAGAATTTTGGCTGCGTAAGCTACAAAATAAACAAAAGAAAAGGGACTGAACCTGCTTGTATGCATGACAGCATGCATATTGTTTTCCTACTTGCCTTCTCAAGGTCTACAAAGGTGACACAACTTGGCGGCGATTTTTAATTCGCCCGAAAAAAGTCGAAGACATCTGAGCGACTGAAATGTGAATGAAGAGCTTACAACGGTATGGGCCTGGTAGTAGAATCCACCAGCTTGCTGGACAACTAGCTCTCCCCCATGCTCAAGCTGCCAAACAAAGTGCTGTGGTAATTATTTATATGCCAACGCCTTGAACCGCAAAACAGGAAAGAAAGGAAGCGAACGAAAAGAAATACTTAAAAAAGCAATTAGTCAAACTTTTAGCAAAAGTTTGCGCAATTCTAAGAGAAAAGGTGTGTGAATCTTTAAAGCCTAAAGGTGAGTCGGGTAATTGTTAAGCTGGGGCAATAAATCCAATGACCCAGCCCAGTAGGGGTAACCCGAACGTGCCAGTTCCAGTAAGCCATGTATGTACTTCAGCATTCACCAACTTTTTTAGCATTTTAAAGTACCTCGCCTTTTCTTCTTCGCTATCAAACAAACATTTAGGTGCAAAAATGAACAAGCTCCTCGCATGTATTGCTCAAAACAGAGAAACACTAATCCGACTTGGCGACAACATTTTACTATAAAACTGTTTCTTAGTTTTTATATGGAAAGCGAAATGATCCGTACACAAAAAATACTTCAAGAGCTGTATTAAAGGCGTTCTAAAACGCAGAAGGAGGGTACTCGCCGACAACTTGTCTTATCGAAGTCTAGGGACAATTAACAAGTCTACCAACATGTGGAGTTGATTCAGACCGTGGAGTTCTGGCTAGAAAGGAAATATATAATTTAAAAAATCAGAGAAGCTTACTTCTCTCTGTTACTGCACTTCGAATATTGAAAAAAAAGAAGAGTTATACCTTCTTATTTCTTATTAAAATAATATGAACAAATCCTTTCCTTTTCCTTTGAGAACAAGTTTGAATTCCTGTAACTGTTCCTGTCACTGATGTGCCCAGCAAAAAAAAAAAACCTTATCACACATAACAAATAAAAATCCGAAAAAGTTTCCTGTTTAAAGCATACAAGTATTAACCATCTTGTTCAGCATTGAGAAAAGTTTCATTAAATATTTATTTGAGGGAAATAAAACATGGAAAGGACAATCAAGTCCAATCAATTACGAGGCGCATCAAATGTTTTCACACGAAATATGATTGATATCACGCTCGATGGAATAAATAGCACATAAATGTCAATAAGTAGGCAATAAAATAATTACACGACAACAAGAAGAGCAATAATATCAATTGTGTTTTCTATGTATTTTGGAGCAGGTACTTACAATATGTGTCAGTTGTTAAACGATCGATGGTATCCTGTTTCAATTTCGAGCTCTTTTTTCCCATGTTGTTGTTGCTGCTGTTACCGCCTTGTTGCTGTTGCTTCTGCTGCTGCTGTTGTTGTTGTTGCTGTTGTTGTTGGTGTTGGTGTTGCTGTTTTTGCTGCTCTCCTGCCCGCCTATTCGGCTACACTTGACTGCTATTGCTTTTTAGTGCCAAACTTTTTTGTTGCGCAAGTTTTTACAGAACTTTTTCATAAGTATTTTAATATACGTTATAATTCTTTTAAGTACAACAACAGCGAAAAAAATGTACAAATTACAAGAGCGCGCTAAAGTTCACAACACATTTGATTTTATTAAATTTTCATTTTATATTTCTCCTCGCCAGTTACAGAGCTTTAGTAAATAAGTACGTTGGTTGGTTTTTTCCCGTTTTGCATTTATTATTTAAACTTATTTAGTTTCGTTTCTGTTTTCTATTTGCCGTCAATGTCGCCTGCAGCTGCACTTAACACAAAAAGTGTAATGTATTGGCAGCTGGCCACTGACCAGGCCAACGAGCACAACAACAACCAACGCGCCGGCGAGTAGGGAGGGGAAGGAGCACTAAGAGGTTACAGGGGGTTACAGAGGGTAGCGAGGTGTGGGCCACGTGCTTAAATTAAGTGGCCAGCAATTTTGCAATTAGCATAATGCCGCAACGTGTCATCAATAATGCACGAACCATATCGCATATCGACAACGCCAATGATAATAACGACGGCAATTTAATTGATGATTATTATGATGTTGACGATGATAATAACGACGAAACAAAAGAAGAAGAAGCCCTAAAAGCTTAAGATTAGCTACATGCTGCTGTGAGGAAGCTGCACTAAAACAAAACGAAATACATAAGTCAAATAAAATTTAGAGTCCATCCCTCACACTTAATCAGTTCTTCAAACTTCACATTTTTCCTGTTCTAACAGAATCCACACTGGGTTGGCATTATAATTGTAATTCGATATATATAATTAGGAAGCTGGGAAAGCGAGTTTTTCATATTCGCTGTTCGGCAGTGGATCGAGCTACCGCATTATCTAAAGACAATCACCACCGAAACGCACTTTAGACTTATAGCAAAACTCAAGCACACTTGACATTATTTATTTATTCATTTATTTATTTTTTTAAATATTTGTTAATTTAATTTATGTATTTACTTATTTATTTTTTTATTTATTTATTTATTTATTTATTTATTTTTTTATTCGACAAACAATGCAGTCGATGTAAAGACGAACTGATAACCTCCTCCTTTTTTGAAGTCGGTTAAAAAATAAAAAAATCAATACTGGAGAGAACTTAAACTAAATAAAAATAAAGCAATAAAACAGCCTATAAAAATGACAAAAATATGCAATAACCAATTCGACTCGGTGGGGGAATTTTATTTGCCAAACGGCCAGCTATAACCCGATTCACAGCAAAGGGTACTCAGATACGTTATTAGACCTAACAAAGAAGAAGTGGAGATGAAAAAATATCAATAAAATATAAAAGAAAGGAAATTAAAATTAAAATACTTGAATAATAAAAGATAAATAATTATTAAAAGCTAAAGGTGAAGAATCGCTGAACCATTGGGAAAAAATTTATTAGCCTAATATAATACTTATATTAATATAAAATAAAAAACTCATAATAAAAGCTAAAGGAACAAAAAACAAAAAAATAATTGTAATGTTTAATGTCAAATAAACTACATTAAATTTGTAATTAAATTAAATTGAATTAATTTTATTAATTATATAAGAAATAAATCTGAATGAATTAATTTATAAAATATAAAATGCTTGAAATCTTCCTTTTTCTATACATCTCATTTATTTCCCACCTTATTTTGAAAAATAGGAAGTTCTAATATATTATTCAATGAAAATTGATGGATGAGCTGTCAATTTAATAATCAATCCACATCATTTATTTACATTATGTATTCAAAATTATCAACATAAGCCCCATCTGAACAGATGTACAATACATAAATATGTATTTTCATGTACGTATCGCAATTAATGGCTGTGTGATTTGTGCTTGTATTTGCATGTCAGTTACAGTTCTTCTTCGTGTATGTATGCAGGCTTATATTTCTCTTAGTGTGTGTGTGTGTGTGTGTGTGTATGTGAGAGGGTGTGGGTGGGTGTGGGTGTTGAAACGGGGGCAGGGGTGGAGGTGGAGGGGCTTGTGAGCGTCTGTATTGTGCATAAAAATATGCACAACGCTCTTTTCAGGTCAAATGGCTTTTTATGACAGCGCTTTCAAAAACAAAACAGAAAAGGTCAGACGCAACTAAAGAGGAGATGATAAGAGAGAGAGAGAAAGCGATGGAGGGCATGAGTGGACGAGTATGGTGGGCGAGTAGGCAGTAAAAAAGCGCAGTGAAGCTGCAAACAAAACGGTTGCATATATTCGCCAGCATATTCTAGATGATGTATGTATGTTTGTATTTGTGTGTGCGTTTGTGTGTGTGTGTGTGTGTGTGCGCTGGTGCTGCATTTGACGCATCGTGCATAAAAATAAGTTGCCACTCAGCTTGTTGTTTTTCTTCCTTTATATTAGTGAACAGATGCCGGCGTTGTCGTATAAGAACGCAATGAAATAAATGCTGTTAATTTCAGCCGCGACACAGCAACAGCTACAAAAGCAACATCAGAAACAACAACACCAAGAAGAAGGTTGGCAACGTCTGCTAAATATGTGTGTACATTTCAAAACGACTATAATACAAAAGTGTCAAGTGCGCGTTCAGAGCCAAAATCAAAAACACGCTTAAACGATGCCTTTGTCATTGTTGTTGTTGTTGTTGTTGTTGTTGCTTTTGCTGTTGTTGTAGGTGTTGGTGTAGGTGTCCCTGTTTCTGTTGCTGCCGCACCCAATCAGCTTCAGCTCCAAGGCGCCAAACACATAAAAAGTATGTAGTATAAGCATCAAAAATCCAGAAAGAAAATGTGCACTCAAAAAAGTATGCTACAGTTTTTACTTTGCTTTTTAAAAATCCTTGCGCACGCAAAACGCGGACCGGAGCAGGCAAGAACACGTTGGTTTGGTGTCCAACTGTCGCTGTCGCTGTACGCATTTGTTTGTTTTTAAAACAGAGCTCACAAACAGACAAACGGCCGGACATCTACACTGCCCATCAAATCCTTCTATGCAATAGAAGCTATCGAAAAAGAAAACTAAGTGATTCCGTTGTTTTTATGTTAGTTAAAATATTTATATTTAATTATGTAAAGGTAATTGGTTTTTTTATTGGAAAAATTAAGATGAGGAGCAGCGCACCTCTCAGCTCAAATAAAAAACAAACAACAAAAAGCTACCGCATGGGAATGAGAAAAGGACAAAAATTTGGGTTTTCTTTTTTTTTTAGAGAGCAAAACATAATTTTTATTGTGTTATGTGGAGAATATTATTTTTGTTTAATGTTTCTTTTCAATGACAGATCAATACGCAAGACTCGAAAAAACAACTGTAAATGATTTATAATGCTGCTATACTATGTACTATACGTTTAAGAAGAACTCATCTAAAGGTAAACATTTATTTGCAGAGTGTACTGGTATATATAAATTGGCAGAAAGAAAGCCTAATCAGTACAGGTATAAGTAGTGGACATTGTCTATATTAATACTTGTACAAATGTTATACTTGTTCGCAATTTGAATATGTTCCTAGACTTAGTAGCTGAAACACCAATGAGCGAAACTATGAACTTTTAAATAACAGAGTTTTTATATCTAAAGTAAATCCAACATTTTTTGGTAGACTTCTTGGAAATAAATTGCAACGAGCACAATTTCCAAATATGTGCGCATTTGTTAGGAAAGCATTTGGAATTACAAGTTCTTTCTCTTCCATTATTATGATTTTGTGTGTTTTTTAATTCATAATTAAAATACATGTTGGTTTAATTAAAAGCAGATTAATAAAGGCATGCATTTTTGGTAAACGATCACCAAACTCGCATCAATAGAAAATCTATAAAGCCACGTTGTGTTGTAATTATAGTAATTGTGGTTAAAAAAAATGATATAGCATAAAAAAGGCATAAACTAATATCAATTAATTAGTTAAAATGATATTGAACTGTCTTTTATTGCCGGTTTTGTTTAATGGTTGAATTTCAACAGCTGGACAAACACTTGTGTATATAAATAGCTTGACTTCGGAGGTGCTAAACAATATTTAGCTTGGAGATACAAATGTTTTAAGCTACATAAGCAGCTTTAAACACTATTGTAACCAAATAAAATATTAATTTATTTTCCCCTACTGGTCCACTTATTATTTATTCAGAGTAGGAAAAGCTTTATAATTAATACAATTTTGTTTTGAGACATCAGTGTCGTTTTTGAGAACGAATTTTAGATTTGAAAAATGTGTCTTAAGACAGCCATGCTCGATGTCTTCAGGTATTCAGAAGATATTAGAAGGTTTTTAAAACCAAGCAAGCCCTAAAAAAACCCTCAGGTTAGCTTCTACTTGAAAACTTCGTCACAAAACATATGCCGGATAGTGTACATTGTCGCAGCTGCGTTCATCGCGTTGGCGTTGGCATTGGTATTGGTGTTGGTGCTGGTGTTGCTCCTGCTCGGTTTGTTATTGTAGCTTTTGTTGCTGTTGCTTTTTTGGCACATAAACCATTGGCATTTGCTAACTAAACACAGTCGCTGGGGGCGTCGCGGTTGTGGACAGGGGCGACAGCCGTCTGTTTGCCTGCCAGATAGTGTTGGTATGTGTTTGCATGTGCTTTTGCGGGCATGAGTTAGTGTGCGTGTGTGCTGGTGTGCGGGTGTGCGGGTGGACGTGCAGTATCTTGTCTGTAGGTGTACTGTCTGTGTGCCTGTGTATGTGTGTGTGTGTGTAATGCCGTGCAAAAAGTTTCGTTTCATTTCGAATTTCCTGGTTGTATTTTTTTTTTTTTTTTCATTTCTACTGCGCTACGAATTTTTTAGTCAAAAAAAAATTTATACGTTTATTTTCTTCACAGCTGGCTGCTAATGCAGCCCCACACACAAAAACACACACACACAGAGACACACATTTATCTCATACACTCATGAACAAAAATGAAAGCAATGCCTGCCTCTACCCGTACCCTTTCCCTTCTCCGTTATTTCTACAAGTTTCGACTACTGGCTTGTAAGTGTATCTCAAATCTTGTAGTCCCCCATCTCTTTCTGTTTCTCTGCTCTTCCAACGACACACTGCTTTCCCGCCGATGCTGTTGCTGTTACAGTTG